ATTGTTTCTTTACTTTCTCCTCCATCCCAATCTGTTCTTGCTCCAGGCCTGGCAGTATTTGGCTCTGAAGGTTTTGTGTTCAGATTTTAAAACATTAAGTTTCTCCTCAGCTCTTCCAATAGTCACAAATCTATCAATAATCTTCTGTCTGAAGACATCGACATTCTCACCAGGGCCGGGACCCACAGTCAGGTCCTCCACTTCACTAGGCCCGGTCTCATCAGGGGAATCCCTCCCAGGGCCTCCCCCTGGATCAGGCATAGTTCCTGGGCCAAGCTAGCAGGCAAGGCCCAGGCTTGACAATGCTGGTTCTCAGGGAGAGCTCCTTCAGTGTGTCCTCCTCCTTCTCCCACTGACCCCCAATGTAAGGGACATTCTTCCCACTGACCCCCAATGTAAGGGACATTCTTCCCACTGACCACCAATGTAAGGGACATTCTTCCCACTGATCACCAATGTAAGGACATTCTTCCCACTGATCCCCAATGTAAGGGACATTCTTCCCACTGACCACCCAATGTAAGGGACATTCTTCCCACTGACCCCAATGTAAGGGACATTCTTCCCACTGACCCCAATGTAAGGGACATTCTTCCCACTGACCACCAATGTAAGGGACATTCTTCCCACTGACCCCCAATGTAAGGGACATTCTTCCCACTGACCACCAATGTAAGGGACATTCTTCCCACTGACCCCCAATGTAAGGGACATTCTTCCCACTGACCCCCAATGTAAGGGACATTTTTCCCACTGACCCCCAATGTAAGGGACATTCTTCCCACTGACCCCCAATGTAAGGGACATTCTTCCCACTGACCCCCAATGTAAGGGACATTTTCCCACTCACCCCAATGTAAGGGACATTTTTCCCACTGACCCCCAATGTAAGGGACATTCTTCCCACTGACCCCCCAATGTAAGGGACATTCTTAAGGGACATTCCCCACTGACCCCCAATGTAAGGGACATTCTTCCACTGACCCCCCCCAATGTAAGGACATTCTTCCCACTGACCCCCAATGTAAGGGGACATTCTTCCCACTGACCCCCAATGTAAGGGACATTCTTCCCACTGACCCCAATGTAAGGAGCATTTTCCCACTGATCACCAATGTAAGGGACATTCTTCCCACTGACCACCAATGTAAGGGACATTCTTCCCACTGACCACCAATGTAAGGGACATTCTTCCCACTGACCACCAATGTAAGGGACATTCTTCCCGCTGACCACCAATGTAAGGGACATTCTTCCCGCTGACCCCCAATGTAAGGGACATTCTTCCCACTGACCCCCAATGTAAGGGACATGTTTCCCCCCACTGACCCCCAATGTAAGGGACATTCTTCCCACTGACCACCAATGTAAGGGACATTCTTCCCACTGACCACCAATGTTATGATCATTTTCCCTTTAGTTGGAGTGCCACAAGACCTGGAATTTTTTGAAGGGTCTCTCTGGGGTGGTCAGGTTTAGAAATGCTGCTCTAAGCAGTGTCCTATGTGGTCTTTCCATAAATGCAGTCCTGGTACAGAACTGATTCCTGCGGTCTGATCCTCACCAAAGTGTTCATGTAATTGTGGATTCTCACCACATCGATCATACATCAGGTGATAATATGTGGACAGCGAATTATTGATTTATGTCCTTCGATACGGAGAAGTCCATCATCATCCTTCCTGAGAAGAACTTGTCCCGCCGTCAGTGACACGGAGGAATGCATCCCGAGGCGATTGTCCTCGTGGCACTTCTGCTGCTATGGACAGGTCGCTGTCCCCGGTGTCACCTGCAGCATGGCTCCGGGTAAAATCCGAAAATGACATAAATGACGCGACCGAGCCGAAGGAGCTGCCTGTGAAGACCTCTTTGTCTTGTTAGTGAGCGATCCGACTCCTTTATTTCCTGAAAACCGAACATCATGAGAAGAGCTCCCGTAATGTTCATATATAACATGAGCCCGGGTTCACATACATGCGGTGCGGTACATTGCGTGTGATTCACATGGGAACCGCACCGCATTCCTCTGCAGATCACATGCGATTTGTGTGCGGTGCGATCGGAGTCGTACATTTTGTATGGCTCTAATCCCACCGCACCAAAAACACGCAGGACCCTTTTTTGGGTCCGCACTAGAGTCGGATCGCACGGGTATTCACACCTATGGGATCCGATTCTGCACATCGCACTGCGTTTTGCGGACAGATTTCGGGGTGTTAACTTAACATACACACCCGCAGCGGTTCGCATGAACGGGGTGCGATTCTGATGCGGAGTTCACACAGAAAACGCTGAGAACTCCGGACTGCGTCATTGTGAACCCGGGCTGAGGGTCATTCACACGTGTTTTTCATCAGTTCCGTCACGTTTTTTCCAAGAAAAAAAACGGATCAGTTTACGCCAGGGGCGGACTGACCCTTCGAGCACTCGGGCACTGCCTGAGGGCCTGGGGTCCGTAGGGGTCCCCATGAAATGCCCCTGGAACCTTTTTATAGGTTTTTTGGGTGTGGTTTGAGTGCAGGCAAGGACACAGGGGCCCATGATCCCCTATTGCCCGAGGGCCCCATGAGTTGTCAGTTCACCTTTCATTTACGCCCTGATCCTGGGAGCTTACAATCTAGGAGGGAGGGGCTGGTGGTACAAAAGGTAGTAACTGTGGGGGATGGACTGATGGGAGAGATGGAAGATTCCATTATTAGCTGAAGGTGGGATAGGCTTCCCCGAAGAGATCGGTTTGCAGAGATCGCCTAGAAGTGAGTATAAATAAAGGAATAGAATAGAAAAAAAAAATAGACTAGAATAGAATAAATTGAAAGAATATACCCGTCTTCTGAAATACGAATTTTGAATGCAATCAACTATTAATGAATTCAGATCAATTTGATTCAAATACTTCAATTCTACTGGAAAAATTCGAATTTGGTCGAAAACGGAATAATCTAAATGAAACAAAAACAAATGTAATGATGAATGCAACACAACGAGAACTTAACGAATTGTCCTCAAAATGGGACAAAAAAAACGTTTTTTTCGTTCTGCACGTGTCTAATATTGAAGCTCGCATTTTATAATCAGTTTACAGCAAACCTTTTTTTTTTTTTTCCTTTTGGGATGAAGGTTTTACATAGAGGCGTCCCCAGGGTTGGTGTCACCCGGTGCGGTAACACTTGGTGACACCCCCTCCGATGATCCCCGCAGGATGGATGGGATCTGCGGATTTGGGGAGGATAATGGATCGGACTCCCATCCATTATGCTGAATCCACAGATCCGATCCATCCTGCGGGGATCGTCGGCTTTCTTTACAACTTACCTTTTCGTGGAGAGGGTCCGGTGTCACCCCGTATAGGTTGCATGCCAATGATCCCCGCAGGATGGACCGGATCTGCTTTTTTGAGTTTGGGCAAGGACACAGGGGCCCCATGATCCCCTATTGCCCAGGGGCCTCATGAGTTGTCAGTCCACCCCGGTCTGGTGTCACCCCGTATAGGTTGCATGACGACGATCCCCGCAGGATGGATGGGATCTGCGGATTGGGGAGGATAATCGGACTCCAATTCATTATGCTCAATCTGCAGATCCTATCCATCCTGCGGGGATCATCGTCATGCAACCTATACGGGGTGACACCGAACCCACTCCACGAAAAGGTAAAATGTAAAGAAAGCCGACGATCCCCGCAGGATGGATGGGATCTGCAGATTGAGCATAATGGATCGGAGTCCGATCCATTATCCTCCCCAATCCGCAGATCCCATCCATCCTGCGGGGATCGTCGTCATGCAACCTATACGGGGTGACACTGGACCGGGGTGGACTGACAACTCATGGGGCCCCCGGGCAATAGGGGATCATGGGGCCCCTGTGTCCTTGCCCAAACTCAAAAAAGCCTATGAAAAAGGTACCAGGGGCATCTCATGGGGCCCTCTACTGATCCAGAGCCCTGGGGCAGTGCCTGAGTTTCCAAATGGTCAGTCCGCCCCTGCACCGGACCCGCTCCATGAAAAGGTAATTTGTAAAGCAAGCCAACGATCCCCGCAGGATGGATGGGATCTGTGGATTGGGGAGGATAATGGATCAGACTCCGATCCATTATGCTTTCCAATCCGCCGATCCGATCCATCCTGCGGGGATCGTCGGGATGCAACCTATACGGGGTGACACCGGACCCGCTCCAAGAAAAGGTAAAATGTAAAGAAAGCCGACGATCCCCGCAGGATGGATCGGATCTGCGGATTGGGAGGATAATGGATCGGATCCATCCTGCGGGGATTGTCGGCTTGCTTTACAACTTACCTTTTCGTGGAGTGGGTCCGGTGTCACCCCATGCGGTAGGTGTCACTCGGTGCGGCACGCACACCCCCTGCACCTGCCTCGGGACGCCACTGGTTTTACAGGAATAAATAAAAGCTGATCATTGTCAGCACCCCTGCCGGTGGGAAATGGTTTGCCTCATCCCCTGTAAACTGATACTGGAAAGCTTGTGCTTTTAAGAAACAACAGACTTACTAGCTGGATCACCAGGTGATAATAAAACAAAGAAAAGCCCAGAAAAGAAAACGAATTCAGCCGTCACATTTAAGAAACGATAAGCTGCGGTATAATAAACGTTCGTGTTTAATACGGCTTCACATGCGGCCCTTTGGCAACGTGTTGCCCATGCGGTCTCCGATTGGCTGGAGTCACATGGAGGCGGGGCAATGATTGGACCTACAGGAGTTACTTTGTAACAAGCAGATCGATGTATCAAAGCTTCGTAAATCTTGGAAATAAATAAGGACGCAGCTGCCCCACGAGTCCGGCAGCAACGGCGATCGACTTCCACGCTCCCGAATTTCCGTCATTCCGATGACAGAGCGATTCAGCGTGCGCGGGATTGCGCTCAGTTGGCTTGCCAGCAGGTGTACATCGATGGGGGGGGAGGGGAGGCGATTAACCCGAGCGTTCGCTCCTGTTGGCATAAACACCATTATTAGCGATTCCATTATTATTTCTGCTGCAAATTACCAGCTTCGTGTTGCCGTTTATTTTAATTAGTGAGGTTTGTGCGGCTTAATTACTGTTTGTGTTTTCAGTCGACTGGAAACCTGATTGGTGCCAGAGTCAGCGTTCCAGCCTCGCCGCCGCGACGTGCGTCTGATGGCTCCGGAGATTGGACGGGATCCGCCGCGATGTGAGCCGTAGTCTTCCATGGTCCCCGGTGTGGGGGGGTCTGACAGCCGGGTGTGTCGGTGTGGGGGGGGGGCTGACAGCCGGGCGTGGGGGGGTCTGACAGCTGGGCGTGTCGGTGTGGGGGGGGTGGGGGGGTCTGACAGCCGGGTGTGTCGGTGTGGGGGGGACTGACAGCCGGGCGTGTCGGAGGCGGGGCCAAAAACCGACATTTTCCATAAAACTCTGCTGTATATATAGAATAAAATATCGCCCAATCACAGGCAGCAAAAGAATCGATTGCATGATCTGTATCGGGGTCTCCAAACTTTGCAGTACGAGGGCCAAGTTGTGCCTGGAAGAGCCCCCCCTATATCCAGGAGTGCCTGCCAGAGTCCTCCCCCCTCCATTACATCCAAAATTTCCCAACAGAGTCCCCCCCTTGTATCCAGAAGTGCCAAGCAGAGTCCCTTATATCCAGCAATGCCTGGCAGAGTCCCCCCTTGCTTTCAGAAGTGTTCGGCAGCCTTTGCATTCAGGAGTGCTCAACAGAATCCCTCCTTATATCCAGGAGAGCCTGTCAGAGTCCCCCCCCCCCCTTCATTACACCCAGGATTTCCCAACAGTGTCCCCCTTGCATTCAGAAGTGCTAAGCAGAGTCCCTTTTATCCAGCAATGCCTGGCAGAGTCCCCCCTTGCATTCAGGATTTCCCAGCAAAGCCCCCCCTTTGCATCCAGGAGTGCCTGGCAGAGTCCACCCTTGCATCTAGGAGTGCTCAACAGAATCCCTCCTTATATCCAGGAGAGCCTGTCAGAGTCCCCCCCCCCTTCATTACACCCAGGATTTCCCAACAGTGTCCCCCTTTGCATTCAGAAGTGCTAAGCAGAGTCCCTTTATCCAGCAATGCCTGGCAGAGTCCCCCCTTGCATTCAGGATTTCCCAGCAAAGCCCCCCCTTGCATCCAGGAGTGATGCCCGGCAGAGTCCACCCTTGCATCTAGGAGTGCCCAACCAACAGAATCCCTCCTTATATCTAGGAGAGCCTGCAAGTGTCCTCCCCCCTTCAATACATTGAGGATTTCCCAACAGAGTCCCCCCTTGCAACCAGAAGAGTCCGGCAGCCTTTGCATTCAGGAGTGCCCAACAGAATCCCTCCTTATATCCAG